ATAGATAGATAGATAGATAGATAGATAGATAGAGAGATAGAGAGACTGAGAGAGAGAAAGAGTGAGGGGGGGGGGAGAAAGAAAGAGAATTCATTCTCCTTCCTCGGCCGCCACAAGACACTGCGCGTTAGGTTTAGGTTAATGCTGACAAAAATATTTAATTTACCAAACCCAGGATTAGCACAGAGAAAGTGTTAGTGATAAAGATTAAATTGTTTATAGCTAATCCCCACTGCTGTGAATCCACTTGCTATTCTTTTCTCTATATTATATCCCATAAATATACAGTTGTTGTTTTTTCTTTCATTCTTTACAACATCATTAACAACATCAACATGCAAGACAGAACGAAAAACAGAAGTAAAAAAAGAGAGAGAGATGGAGATGGACAGTTATCCTATTGCAATCGTTGTTATCTAACAAAAGCGTAAGGCGCATTATAATGATGACGCCATGAATTTACTGACCTCAATAGCTAAATTATGAATGTGTATTACAAAGTTGTATTCTTTGGCTGTCAAAAACGTTACTCTGGTAATCTAGACCTGATTGCTTTCAATGAGAATGAGTGAAACATTACATTTTAATTCAATTTAGAATAGATCTAGAGACAGTATAAGAACGGCATTGGTTGTAGAATTCTTTAGAACAACATTTATAATATTGATTTTCCAAATAGCTGTCGCTTTTTGTGACTAATCCAATAGTTTCTTTTTGTTTTGTTGTTTATTTTTTTTAAACTGCGTGCTAACAAACATGGTATGATGAGGAGAATCTTAAAGCATGTTTTCACATGAGCAGATTGTATTTTGTTGTGAATGACGTAGTTTTGGTCAGGTCTGTGGTGACCATTAATTCAACTTAATATAATTTAGTGATATAGTTGGTATTGGTAATACATAATATATTTGTATATATCTAGAGAGAGTATTTACGTATACTGACGGCTTAAAAGTTGTCGTTGGTATTATGCAGTTGAACGTAAAACACACATAATATACTTGGGAACCTTTCCAAGCGGGGCATTAAATATTATTTCTGTAGGTTTATATCCCCCACGTTAGCAAGCATTGGCATTATAAACGTATATTAAAGACATCAATATAGTTATTAACACTGCATTATGATATTATTGAAATGTTCATATTTTGACTAAGTTGTAAAGACACACTAGTAGGGTGGAAAGTGCCAGGGGTATAAGATGGTTAAATGAAATAATAGTGCGATATTGATTGGGTGCAAAATAAAAGAAAAGGAAGGGTGGAAGGGAGGAGGAGGAGGGGGAGGAGGAGGGGGAGGAGGAGGGTGTCAGAGGAGAATACAAGAGAACAAAAAAAAAAGGAAATGAAAATATTGAGGATGGTTTTAAAAGGTTGACGTGTAAGGAAGATGGGGTGAACATGTTCTTTACAGAGCATAACAGGCTTTTGTGTAAAGAAGCTCTAAACTCGATGACTTTACATACATAGTTATGCTGCTTATAGGATAGCTCCCGAGATTGCTTAAGACGACGACGAGAAAGAAATAGGGTAAAGATGATTTGTGGTTACTGATATGGCCAATGACACATGAACTATCCTGTGCTCATACAATTAGGCCATGAGCCAATGCTTTGTTCATCAGAGGATACGTCATGGTATTGTGGATCCATTGTCTCTTATAGCTCTCTCACTGCTAGACTAAATCTCAAGTTATTTACAGCTGCCTTTCTCTCTCTCTCTCTCTCTCTCTCTCTCTCTCTCTCTCTCTCTCTCTCTCTTTCTCTCTTTCTCTCACTCTCTCTCTCTCTCTCTCTCTTTCTCACTCTCTCTCTTTTCCCCTATCTATCTATCTGTCTATATATCTATTCCATACACATACTCACACACACACATACTCACACACACACACACACACACACACACACACACACACACACACACACACACGCTCACACACATACACACCAGCACCCTCATTCATGCTCCCTCCCCTTGCAACATTGAAGACCCCTATTATCTTGAAATATCTCGTCCTATTTTCTACTTAGATGAGGTTGAAATACGTCAACAGGGAAAACATCTACACTCGCAGAATAATTCAAGCCGTTATGCTCTGCAAATTGAAAACAAATCACAGTAGGGGAAAAAGTTGAAAAAAAGAAATGAAACGAATTAGAAACGGTACAAACCGGAAGTGGGGCACGGAGAGTTAAAGACACTGCAAACGGCGGGTCAAGGGTGGCAGAGAGGGATATGAGGAAGGGAAGAGGGGGAGGGAGGGAGGGAGGGAAGGGGGAGGGGAGGCTCAAACGATGCGAGGAAGGGTTGGAGGTACAGTTGGCGAGACCGTGGTCTCAGCTTGGGTTGGGGGAGATCAGGTTTGGATTTGGAATCAGGTTTGGGTTTGGAATCGGGTTTGGGTTTGCAGGATAGAGTCGGCCGGCGCGCTGAGAGGGAGATCTCTGCGGCGGTGGCTTGACCACTGTCCACGGGTTAAGGAGAGGAAACATTGTGTAATCCACGCAGAGGGAGGTAGATGGAACAGCCTACCTTCGATCTCGTCTCTAGAAAGCTCGGTCTGTAAAAAAAACACCCACATCGAAATGAAATGTTATTAGTGGTTTGTATATTATAAAATGAAAGACATACTGGCAAAACAAAAACAGAAAAATCCACCGAACAACAAACAAAACGAAACAAAAATAAGAGAAATACGAATGCTTATAATGAAGAACATTGCTTTGTCTGTCAGAATGTTATTATTATAAATATTGATCGTGTACATAGAATGAAAGACACACAGCATAGACAAGACAAATGCCTGCTATAAGGAGAACATATTTCTATCACAGTGATATTATTGTTATATATTGTACATGATACACCCTAAGACATGAATACAGCAAATCCGGTACGAATGCCCATTATAAAGAACGCTTATATCTAAGTACCAGAATAGTTACATTATAATGGGCATGTAAGGAAAGACATACAGCTAAAAATGGGCCTATTATGGAAACGTTATGTAAGAGAATGATAGGAGAATTATCTGCAGGGGGGGTCACATCGGGGACCTGAGCAACGAAAGAAACATGACGTGTGGTGGCATCGTCGTGAAATCTGGCGCTCGTCAAAATAATGAAATCAACGAAACCACCATTCTTTCTGCTTGTTGGGCTATTTCTAATCAGGCTTTTTTCTGGCTCAATACGTTTCCTGTCAATTTAAAATGATATTTCTTTCTGGATTTTACTGAAAACCGTAGACGAGAGGCACAAAAAAAAACAAACAAAGGAAATTGCAGTTTCCAAGGACACTGAAACTTTTGGATTCATCAAACTTTTGTGGTCACTTTCTCTCAAATTTTATCTCTGATACCAGACCAACCCATCTCATTCATTTGCGAATATTCCGACTTATATTCAAGATAGATGGCTACTTTTTTAAATCAAAAGCAAGACAAACTAACAACTTTAAGATTATACCACAAAATTGACGAGCGTCAGATTCCACCGTGTCCGTCCAGATATGGACCAAGCAAATTGCTAATCATAAATTTGTCATCGACTTCTCGAGACTCTGTCGGAATGTGCTTCATCATAATTTTATCTCTCTTTCTCCTTTTCATTGAATGTCACTTTCTAGAAACGCCTCTGATCTTCGACATTTACGCGACCTATTTGTGTTGCAAATGCCGTTAACCAATTACTACAACTAAAATCTAATTGTAGGTCACAGCTTCTATACCGTTTCAAAGAGACCGGACTCATGTATTGCATAGTGTGTGGTGCATTTGATCTTCAGTTGAGCCTTTAAACGTGCACCTTATTCACGTAAGATTAAAGTGAAAAGGAACGAGGCAGATGGGAAGGCCTCAAAGCTCTAAGAGAAGACGGGATACAGCTAGCTGGACAGAGGTGGAGCATATAGCCCAGTACTGAAGTACAAGTAGTAGCTTTTGTTGGTCGACTATGGTCCGTTACATGGTGAGAAAGGCTGAGGATGATGATGATGATGATGATGATGATGATGATGATGATGATGATGATGATGATGATGACGAGGAGGAGGAGGAGGAGGAGGAGGAGGAGGAGGAGGAGGAGGAGGAGGACAGCAATGATGACAAAAGTATGTTCTCCTTGTTTCTTATTTTGAAAAACTCCAAAGGGTTTTGGAAATCCACACAAGCTGCACAGCGAACAGAAGAGATCAACTCCAGTGAAACAAATCCCGGAAAATTCACAACGTTACCGCTCAAATAAGATGTGATCAAGATCATCATCATCCAGTGCCAGATCTGCGTAAGACATCGGCGATCATGGTTTTCCATTCATTCCTTTGCTCGGATGCTCTCAAAAAAGCTACGTTTCCCTGATCTTTCCCTGTTACCCGTTTGTTTAGGTTCCCTACGTACGTTGTTCTGGGCCTATCCCTGCCTCGATTACCCTCAATTTTGCCAGTGAGAGCTAGATGTTCAAGACCCTTTAAGAGCTAGGTGATCAAGATAAGATCACAATCTATTGACCTTCACAAAGAGAAATTTGCTTCGGCATAGTAAATACGTACACTGTCACACTTTCGTTAACACAGTCTCACGCAAATAAATATTTAGATATCTGGCTTTGTGAACCCCATTAAGACCAGTACCCTACTATTCACAATGATACCACTAAAGTAATAATATATTTCTGTGTATAGGCAGTCTACACGAATTTTCCTCACTTCACGCAGGTGAGAATGTGTACCTGGCCATTACAGACATAAAGGTCTTATCAGAATATTTGTGTTCTAGCGCCTGCAAAAAAACACCCTGCTTACGCAGTAGGCTTCCCATAAAATTAGGATTATTCAGGATGCTATCAGGTCTACTGGGTCAATAATATAGATTGTAAGATGCCTGGAGATTACTGTTGATTGAGAATTTGCGCTATATAATATATATACTATCTGTTATTATTATTATCATTATTACTAATTTGAGCTAAACAAATACAATTGATCAATATTAGTACTAATTTGCGCTGTGCACATATATCATTTATCATGATTGTTACTATCGGAAAGGGTCAGACTTACGGCCATGGTTGTGCTTGCTGAGTGCTGGGAACAAGAAGAAGATCACGTCCGGACTCCACGAGAAATGTCACGTCACAGAGCGGCAGACTGGCGTGCGCTAACTTATACCTGGCTCAACGGTTCTCTCCTCCTCGTGAGCGTGTGCGCGTGCCTGATTCCGTCCGCTGTGCTCACGCAGGGAACGTAGATAGATCGCACGCGCGTACGTTCGTAAACACACACAGGCGCTCACAGACATACGTACACACCAGCAGCACTTCACCCCCACCCCCACCCTCACCCTTTTTCTGTGCTTGATGCACGAGCACAAACTCGCGCACGTGCATCCACCCAAGCCCCCACCCGCCTCCTACTCCAGTGCTCACTTTTAACCCACGCACTTGCACACATGTTTTTGGCGAAGGCTCAAGAAAATAGGAAGGTATAGGATAGCTTTGCTCTTGGCGTTTGTAGCTTAGAGTAGAGAGGTAGGCTCTCGATATAGGAAGGTATATAGGACAACTTTGCTCTAGACGGTTCTAGATCAGCATAGAGACAAGTTCTAGCTGCAGGAAGGTATAGGATACCTTTGTTTGAGATTGCTCTAGCTTAACATATTATAGAGGTAGGCTCTAGGAAAAAGAAGGTATTGGCTTTTTTGAGGGTTTTAGTAAGAGTTTGTCGGTACTTGCAACACAACACATTAGGTCACATAAGTGCCGACGATTAGAGGGTAACATACACAGAATAGATGGAGGAAAGATAAGAACGATAGATGTTTGACAGGAAAGAAGGAGCAAACCATTCCAGAGCACTCGCCAACTACCCACATAAGAGAGTATAGGACAGATTTATTGCGCTAGCCTGTTGTAGCTTTGCGCAGAGAAGCAGGCTCTAGACATAGAAATGTACAGAATATATTTGCCCTAGACTCTTCTTGCTGAACATAGAGCGAGAGGTTCTCGATAATAATAATATAGTAAAAGTATATGATAATTTGCTCTAGACTGTTCGAGATCAGCATAGAACTGTTGTGGTACGGATGAGCTTGAATGTAAATTCATTTACTAGAGACTTTGTATTCTCTCTCTCTCCCTCTCTCTCTCTCCCTCTCTCTCTCTCTCTCTATCTCTCTCTCTCTCTCTCTCTCTCTCTCACTCACTCTCTCTCTCTCCTCCTTTCTTTACCACCGTTCTTTTCTCTCTGTCCCTGTCTGTCTAAGAGAGAGAGAGAGAGAACGAAAGTGAGTGAGAGGGGGAGAGAGAGAAGAGAGAGAGAGAGAGAGAGAGAGAGAGAGAAAGAGAGAGAGAGAAAGAGAGAGAGAGAGACAGAGAGAGAGAGATGTCTATCTATCGAAAAAGAAAAAAAACCAGCAGACGAGCGAGCTGAGATAAAACTGTTTTTGTAAGTCAGATGTTGCAAGGACGGAGCACTGATAGGAATAGGGGTGTCAAAAAGACAGAAAATTCACTCACAAACACACACGTTCACACATTCACATTATCACACACTCACACACCCACAAACTGACATACTCACACACTCGCACACTCACACACTCACACACTTACATGCACGCACACTCGCACACTCCCACTCCCACACACTTATACATGTGAGATGGATACTCCGAAATTTGCAGAATCGGCAAAACGACGACAAGGGAGCTATAGCTAAAGGAAAAAATTATAATGTCCCAGACCGGGAATTTGTTTCGTAATTGGTTTGGATGTATATATTATTGGTCGTCTGCAAATAGAAGTTCATATTTAGGCTTTCTGGGATTTGGTTATTGTGTCAATATTATATTATAAAAAGGAAGGGGAGGGGGGGGGGATAGAACGCATCCCTGTCGTACTCCAGATCTTACATTGAACCAGTCTATGTTGTCTTTCGTTGTTCTTACTGAGCTTCTGCTGTTTGTACATCGAGTTCTGACATTGTCTAACAGTTGTCCTATGACGCCATACTTTTCAAGTGTCTTCCAGAGTTTGGCATAGTTTACTCTGTCGAAAGCCATTTCTTAGTCAGTAAAGACTATGTTGGATTCTTTGTTGTGTTCGATTGTTTTCTCAAATAATTGTCGTAATGCAACTAAAGCATCCGTGCATTCTCTTCCCTTTCGGAATCCGAACTCATTTCTGCTTAGGTTTCGCTCTACAATAGGTCTTATCCGCTGTTCTTATTTCTTCGTATACGTTTTTCCCGGTGTGGCTTGACAAAGAGATGCCTCTGTACGTTGTGCAGTCGCGTTTGGTGACTTTCGTTTTCGATAATGGGACCTCTATAGCTTTTGGTAGCCCCCTCTGCATTTCCTTTGCTCCCAGGCTCTATTAAAAATTCCCCTCAGCCACAGTACGCCGGTGTTTCCACAAACTCTTATAGCTTCCATTATGATGTCATCTGGTCCTGGGGCTTTGTTTTGGGGACTAGTTTTGAGTGTAGTAAAGTCTAAAAAATCACATCACCCAACTGAACCACACCTGGGGAAAATTTGACAAGGGAATAGGCACATCACAAACAGAATTTATGAAAGTTAGCCCAAACCACAGTCCCCCTGAATATTCAGGCCAAAAGCAAACAACAGGTCAAGGAGTTAAAAATTTTTGGTAGCACTTTTTCTGAAAAGCAGGAAACAGGTTCAGAGACAGAGAAATAGCTAGAAATGCGAACTTAAAAAACCAACGCTGTCACTTACCAGCTCGCACCCCGCCTATCTCATCCAAACATCTTCATGGACACAAAGAGACAGCTTATCACTTTAACATTCATACCAACATTACGCTACAAGTGCCACACCTGCACCTTAGGTAAAAGACATAAAAGCAAAGCCTCTGCATTCAAGATGAAATGTCTCCGTAAAACGTAAACATAATAATAATAATAGATAGCATTTGTATAGCGCATATCCCCGCTCAGCAGCAGGCTCTATGCGCTTTACACTATATTATTACCCCAGCAGACCATAGAACACTCCGAAACATTCTCAGCTTCCCGGGAAGCATACAGTGCGAGCAGCCGATTAAGCGCTCAAACACTAACAAACTGGCAAGATCTTTCGCTGTCTATAGCCGGGTACCCATTCCCACCTGGGTGTAGTGAGGAAAATTCGTGTAAAGTGCCTTTCCCAAGGACACAACGTCGGGCCCTTGACGGGATTCGAACCCACGACCTTACGGTTGCGAGTCCGAGAGACTGACCACTAGGCCACCGACGCCACTATGCCACTACTGGCACGGAGTCCTTCGTGGACTTTATAGAAAATGGAATAAATTAGATAGTTTGGCCGCCAGTTACGAATGTCACCTAAATAGCCAGCCTCGAGAGTCTATAACACCAAGTGCTCAGGTTACAAAGGAAGAGATAGACCCCGCAAAAGATGAATTGAGGGAGTCAAGGAGGCCCTGAGAAGTTCCTGACAACATCCCAATTGAAAGAGCTGCAGGGGTGTTCTACCATAGAAATCCGCACTTCCCTTCGACATATGATGAAAACGTAAAAGTGAAGAAGATAGGGGTGTAAAACGCCACACAATTCCTGACCCCGACATGGGTCTATAGATCTGACAGGGGTGAAGGGACACATGGGCCCTTCATTCGGAACCATCTTGATCTATTACACTGGTCTACAAATTTTGAAAAAGTTTCCACTTCCTAGATCGAATATCATTTTTTATATAGATATTACTGGGGCGAGGAAATGGTAATGGAATTTGACGTTTAGTTCTAGTTTTCAAGATATTTAAATTTTAAATTTTTTTATTTACAGATAGATTTTAAACTTACAATTATACATAAGGACTAAAAAGGGATCCTTGTTCATACTTATTTGACATTTTTTTCTTGGCTCGATTGCTGTATTCATACATTTCTTCAACATAAGCAATAGTAATCTGCAAACTAACATACGAGTATCACTCCATTGACATCGCTGTCCTTAGCTGCAAAGTCTTGGTGCAAACGTTGCTCAGGTTCATCATTCACAGCATCACATTCATAAGACCGTCCTTAGTGTCAATGCAACAAGGTTACCGTTCTTGTTTTAAAAAATATTAAAAGTTGCTGAAATTCATCGTCAAGATTTCTTAATGTGCTCAGTCTCATTCCGTCAGCAAGAAAGTTTTATTGCTGGAGAATTGGTTCGAGCAGTTCGGCTTTATGTTTTGGAAATCCAAGCCTCTAAGAGGGTCATTCTCATTCATGCCATTTGGCATGATTAGTGAGGTATTCTTGTTACAAACTTTGAATGAAACCAGGGTCTTAGTTTGCTGTCCAAGCATCAGTCTCTTCCTCGGGGGTATTTTCTTCTCCTTCTTTTAATTTGCATCGTCTCTTGAACGACAGGAACTGATGAATCATTGCTGTGTGGTACTGGACGAGGGCTGATGAAATATAAATTATGGGTAGTCAACTTTACTATTCCAATTTCCCATACGCCTCTTTCTAAGTTGTTACAAAATACAGAAGTAGCAGTCATCTGAGTGGTTGCATATTATTATTTCTCACCAAACTATTGACACTGTAAAGGGATTTGATTGTTTTTCCTTTGCAACCAATGGCGATGGTTTGTAATACAGGTATTGCAGCATAACTTAGGAGCCCAACTTTTGTTTTGATTACCAGCTTTGCATCTTAAATAAAGGTGTTATAACTTTTACAATTGATATCGTTCCTCTTTGGGAAGTGCAGGTTATTTCGCCGCATATACTGCGGTGTCCAAAAGGAAAATAAAAATGTATTAACCCTGACATCATGTTAAAACTTTTCACCACCCACAAACGCAGCATACCAACAATTTAAAACTACATGCATTCTGCATCATTTATCTCATCTGACACATTAATTTTTCACCTATGATAAGAATCGCCACAGATATGAAAACTCAAAATTAACCTTTAAAAATCGTGCTTGGCAACATGCTGTAAAATCAAAGAAACGTAGAAGTGTGTTCGCCGATGTATTGGACTTTATTAACATTAGTGGAATGGACAAGCATTGCATATCAAATTAATGGAGAATATTATTGTCTCTGAAATGAACAATATTTTGTTACGATATTTTCAGAGGAATTGGAAAACAGAGCATTCACAAATACCCCACAAAACTTGGACTTAACGTTAAATGTGCTCATTAATATATTGCTTACGAGCTGTTGAATGTGTGTAGAGCACCAACCCTTTATGTACATGAGGAACAGAGACCACTAGACTACCATGATTTGTTG